AAAACACAGTCACTGAAAAAAGACTTAAAGACCTAGGATTATTTGGTCTACACAGAAGAAGAGTGAGAGGAAGCATGAAGGCAATATTAATATTTATGTATATCTGTCTTCATATATTCCCTTGCCCACTGTAGATATGACAAAAATGACAAGCTTCAATTGCATTGAGGGAGATTTAGATTGGGCATTAGGGAAGACTATCTTCCACTAGCAAGTGTAGGCTAGTACCTGAATAAGTAAGGAACTACAAAATTCCCAGGCTTGTTGGGTTTTAAAGCAAGCAGTTTAGGTGTAAGCAGTCCAACCTTACTCGATCTGCCAGCTGGCCCACATTAAATGACATACTTAAAGGCCCTTCTGATGCTGCTTTTAATGAGTATTAATGGCTGCAACATCCCTAGTATTATTTCACATCCACTAACAGCAGTATAATTAATAACAGAAAGCAAAGCAACGGTGAGTGAGGCTCTGTATGATATTGGAAATAGATTGAAGAAAGCAGCATGTTATTTCAGGCCTTGTATCCACTGCCCCACATTTAGCTGCAAGTACTCATCTAAAAACCCCCATAGCTCATATTTGGAAAGATGTGAGCTCTTCATTGGTTCTACCTGTGATGAACTTCCTGAGGATTAAGCTCTTGCACTGCAGCTTTGTTTTTACTGTTTGGTCCAGTGATAATTTCTGAGGTCTCTTCACAGTTGGGTTAGCTTTTCAGTGGAATCTATTTGCTCTCTATTTATGAGCATGTATGTAAAGAATTCTTATCCTAATTGCAATATGTAATTTTGCATGCTACTTTTTCAGTGAAGCCTCACATTTTTCTTTTAGAATTACAGCTTTGTGACTGCTGGTTTTTTATTCTTCATGGATTTAACAGACATGAAAATAAATTTCAGATTTCAAGTGGGTAAGAGAATTCGAGTCTTCATTACATACTTGGAAAATGCTTTTAGAGTAAACCTAAGGGTTTGCTTCATTGTCTCCACTGAAATGTTTAAGAAAAATCAGAATTACATTGAATACACTTTTTCACTAGTAGAATTTAAATGTAATCTTGATCATCTCTTCCTTTTTGTTCAGATCCTGATTCTGTACAAGTAGTGCTTAGACCAGGGCATGAAATGGTGCCAATTTTATCATCTATTTCATGAAATTATCCTGACCTCACCAATTAAATAGTAAAACAATGTTTATTATTTACTATTTTCATAGCTTATGTTTTACTCTTTCAACGTGACACAACCGGAATTGTACGTTACCTCATACAAAGCCAATTCTTAAAGGCCCTGTACAATTATAATGATCGCCTTAACGGATTTTTATTTCATGCTTATAAAAGATTACCTTGGCTTTTAAAACTTAAAGACACCGTACAAGGTTATTTATTTTCATTCCTACTTAAAATTAAATCATATTTGTGTATGCAAATGCACTTTATAGGAGGGTTTAAAAAACTGGCAAGTAAATCCTCATGCACTCAGAGGTGGAAATTATTATCCATTTATATATAGTGATTAACAGTTAAAATGCACTCTCTGCTGTTCCCTGTGTCTCAGAAAGAACAGAAGCTTTTGTCTTTCTGAACTAAAAAGCCACATCTCTTTTTATAGTAAATGCCTTCAAAAGGGGGCACATCACTGTCATGGCAAAAAGCCAGAGAAATTTAAAAAACACTCATCACATACTAAAGAGTTACATTTATGCCTTGCTGATGAGACATTAGCACAAATATGGTTCAAAAAATACGAAATTATAGTTTCCTGATATGTGTCAACTTGCATAGGGCACTGCAGACCGGGTACATATAAACTTTAAATATCACCTCAAAAAGTCAGAGTGTTGAAAAAGAACACAGTAAGCCTTCCCAAGAGCAGTGATATGTCTTAATGAGATGGCACAACATCTCTTGTTTTACATAGAATGAATGTTTTTCAGTTGGCCAATATACAAAAGCAAACAAATAATAATAAAACTCCACAAATAAAACAAAAAACATAACCAGCTCATCTTGAAAGTACTGTATCATCCACAAAGATAACAAAGCATCCAGTCACAAATATAAATGAACTATCAGCCAACATCAGAATATATCCATTTGTCCAACTGATGAGGATCCCTTATCTCAAGCAAGTAAGAGAGGATGGGTTCGACTTCATTTGCTTTTTAAAGAAACCATTTCTCTTTTCTTTTTTTTTTTTTTTTTTTTTTTTAAATTAATTTAATCTTCACACTTTTCCTGGGGCCCCTGGGCTCCTATCCAGGTCCAGATATTTCACAATGGACTTTGATTTTCTGAGGTAAGTGCTCTGTCACTTTCAGAGCAGTTAGAGGAGGGGTCAGGAGTGAGGTGGCATGGTATGGCCTCACTCTGGCTCCTGCCTTCCTGACATTGTACACGCTAATGCAATGTGAAGTAGCACGTCTAAATAGCCTGTCAAACTTTTTTGATGTTAGCAAACCCACAGATGGGATTCATTTCCACACTGTTCAAAAAACGTAAACGATACAAGGACATTAAAGAGCATTAAACTACTTGATGACATTTTGGTCACATTAATGAAAAGTGACATTTATAAACTACTACAAAAAGATGGCGGGGGGAGAGAATGGAAGGAGAAAGGAAAGGAGAAGTGAGGAGGGGAAAAGGAATTAAAATCAATCAAAAAACTCCCAAAGAGACCTGGACAGTCTCTGGACATCATCAAATAAATTAAGGCCTTAAAATGAAATAAACCCCAGAGTGAACTTTTGCCTACACGTGTGCACGTGTGCCTGTGCTAATGCTTGGGTGAAAAGATCCACTGCATCCAAGGACCCTTTACAGGGAAGTATAACTGCATGCATAAGGCTACATTTTCATCTGTTCACTCATAGAGGATAGTTCTTTCCCACTTGCAGCATCCCACTCATGCCAGTGATTAAAATGTTGCTGAATATAAAAAAGGGTATCAAAATCCAACCTCACCAGCTTAGTTTTACACAGTCGAGACCTTGTTTTGTTATGCAGTGACATATATGAAAATATCTCCCACAGCATCAACAGACTCTAGTGCACACATCAAGAAAGTGAGAGCTGGTAACAAGAAAACATTTGGCTATAGAAAGTTCTGAGATCCAGTCCTGTCAGTTCTACAACCTGTTACACACTCAACTGAAGTTTTGGGACCTATCTGGGTGTAAGGGCAGTTGCTGGTTCATCGGCTAAAGCAGCAGAGGCTGTGGAGCTGGCTGTGCCAGGATGCCAGCCTTGCTGGGAAGAAGGGCAGACAGAAGACATGCAACTCTGACTACACCACTGCCACTAGCAGCTTCAGCGTATATTTTTTCCAGCATTCGTGGTTACATTAATTGTTAATGACAAAGGCAACCTTCACTCACTCTGTGTGGTTTCCTGCCCATATTTGGATCCTTTACAAGGCCCCCCCCGCCTTTTCTTCTTCCTCTCCTCCCCCTACCATTATCCCTTCCCTTTCTCTGGTAGGAAATGCAACCCGAGATGTGCGAAAAAACAGTGTGCATATTGTCATTTAATTGGCTCCTTGCTCAGGCGCATCGGGCCTCAGCGCGTGTGCTGTAGGGTGTCTGCTCCACAACAGGAAAGAATAAACCCAGACTCAAATCATAGGAAATTCATCAAATATGCTTCTTAGAGCTCTGTCTTTCAAGGTCTGTTTCCCTGCCATATGATCTCTATAAACCAAATTACTGCTGGCCTGAGTACAAGACTGGAGGCGCCTGGGGCTAACATATAATGAATGCCAAATGCATGTGACAATAGACTGATCATGGAGAAGAATTGAAAATTTTTTAAGTAGTTCTTCTATTTCATTTACAAAAAGCAAACTGACTACAGTTAATACGTTTAAAAGGAGCCAATCATTTCCCTGTAGTTCCAGACCTGCAAAACAATCCTTTTATATTCAATGCATTAAAATGCTAGGACACAAGATACATTGGAAAAATGCTGAATGAAGTACAAAATAGAAAATAAATTAAAAATACCTCATTTTAGGTAGGGACTAATATATGCATTATTGAATTAGCCCAGTTTTTCCTTCTAGGAGCCTTTGTGCATAAAGAGTTTGCCTTTCACTGGCTGTGCAACAAGAGCATAAACTTCTGTTGGAATGTATCTGCGAGAACTGAGATTCTAAGAAAGTAAGAAAGCTGCTTAATGGCTGGATGGATAAGATTAATGATTTTTATTAATTTGTGCAATAAACAGTGAAAGAGAAAATTTTATCCCCATGTTTCCAATTACTTTGAATAACCTAGCAAGTTCAAGTGTTGCTACTGCAGGATCACAAGAAGTGTGAAATCTCCAGAAGAAAAAAATATTACATTCGTTAGTACAGACAGGGGGTAATTAATACTGCTTTTTAGGTTTTAGAAAATACTGCACTTAGAACAGTGAGTCAACTAACAGACCGTCTATAACCTATAAATGCTTCCATATTCACAGACATCAGCAATCCTGGAGTTACAAAAAAGTAATAATACATACATATTAATGGATCACAGTTTGTCCTTTGGGGAGTATATTTTTTAAAAGGGCTAAGGCAGCAATAATAGCTCCTCTAAAAACTCTAAATGCTATAATTGTTTTATATGAATTACAGTGCTTGTATTAATTAATGATTAATGTTTTGTATATGTAAGTATTTGATGGTTACAGCCAAAGAAAAAAGAAACAGTCTGTCTTTTAAGTTGACATTTAAAAAAAAATGTTGCTGTTTGAAGGTTTGGATCTGGTTAAATACAAGATTACTTTAACCACATTTCAATGAGGAACATGAAATATGGCCCATGAGGTCATGCAATTCAGCAAAACATTCTTTTTGCTTTTTTTCTTTTTTACTAGTTAAATAGAAACAAAAGCAAAATTGCCAGAATACCTCTTTAGTTGTATTTTAATCAAAGTGCTTTAAAAAACTGCCTGAAGGTATTAAGTTGTACTCCTATTGGAGTCTGTTGAAGGAACCTAAAGTGGTACTGACCTGCACACTCCTCGAGCTCCTCTTGAAAGCAGTTGCTGTGTTGGACATGCCAGGAACACGCAGACACTAAGGTCTCACTCTGTATTGTGGAGAGTTGCATTGAATGAGAAGGAGACAAGAGAAAAGGGAAAGAGAAGAGCTTAGACAAACAAGACTGAATTTTGGAAATCTCATCTTTCTTAGGTAGAGCAGAGCAGCATTCCTTCCCTTAGGTATTAGGTGTAACTACATTGCTGTAGAGAGCAGGTTCTGTTCTGCCACTGATATCAGTCATTTAACTGATAAGAAACCATCAGCAGTGACACAGAGATCAGTGTTAGAGCATCTATTCTGTCTCTGTTTGCCTGGGTGTGTGAGCAAAGAAAATGCTTCTTCAAGAAAAACTTGAAGTGAAATCCACCAAACTGCGTTGTCTCTATTTTCAAGTTAGAAACAAGTGTAGAATTATTTTAATTTTAGTTTCAGTTATTTATTTGTATTGTAAAAAAAATTGATAATCTGGTCAGAAAAACAGGGACTAGCAAGACATTAGCTTGCACAGAAGTATTTGTCAAAAGCTTGTTTCTGATTTCATTATGCAGACTGCCATAACATACATATACACAATTAGTCATTCTAGACTATAGTAATAGCCAACACATGAAGCATTCTTCATATTTCCAACAGATGTTTATATACAAACAGGAATATTGATAGGCTACTTACTAAACAATACAAAACAAGGCACTGACTGAATATAAAGTTATGTTTTTTAAATCCAACAAGAATGCACACTGCTGTTGATTAAATGTGGCACTCAAAATTCCTTCCATGATTTTAAAACACCTCTGTTTTGCTCTTACACAAATTGCAGTCTACATGTATTCATTATTATCTTATATAAGTTAAAATTTGTACCAATATTATCATATTCATAGCATTTACCTTCATATCAATAAATATCCTATATCAACAAATTTAGGACAAGTCAGAGAAACAGAATTTTTCTTTTCTGGACACTGCTTCAATGAATCCAGGACCCCTATTTGCTCTCCATCTGATCATCTGCCCTAAGTAACCACACTCAGTCCTTGTCTAGTATTTACTTCCAGTGAGGTCCAGGACATTAAAACTATTCTGGGCCAACAGGCTGAAACAGTGTATGGTGGTACACCATGAGTTTGGAACAGAGATATTTAAAAAAGGTACTCAAACATTTTGTGTGGCACATTGCTGCATGTGAGATAGATAGCTTAAAGCATTACTGGATCTAAACAGAGATTTGGACAAAAATTAAGTCATACCAAAAACAATACAGTAGAAATAATACAGTAGAAACAGCTAACATTACTTGTCTTCTTCAGTCTTGGACATTCTTTTTTACTTCTAGATCTTGAATTTATAACCAGCTACAGAAAAAATCTAGATGATCTAGATTATCTCAAATATACCTATTTGGTTTTTTTCCTACAGGAATGCATATGCCTCACTGTACTAACATTCACTGTTTGTTCTCCATAAACATTCATCAAACATCAATGAACGTCAATAGGTGCCTCTTTTTCCTAGTGGAGAAATTCAATGACACAACTTTGCTTCATCTGCACTTCCATGTAGGACATCATTTTGTCAGACTGCCCTTCTGCTGTCATCTGTCACACAGCAACAACATGAAGTGGAATATAGGTGGGTTCAACCTCTACTGCCAGACCACCAACATTTGCCTCTGATGTTGTGGGCCAAAATAATAAAATAGGAGGCATCACTTTTGGAGCAGTCCTTGTATAAATCAAGAAAATATATGTATAAATGTGTAAACTTGATTCAGCTTCCTTACTTAGAACTTGTCAATTTGTACAAGATTCTGAATCTAAGAATACAAAGAACTACTAGTGTAGCAACTATTCAAAATTTTCTTTTCCTTGTTCAGTGTACTGCTTCTGACTTTATTTATAGAGTACTGTCCAAGCTTAGCTTTGAAAACTGAATTACTGATCCTCTACGGGCTTTTGGAGATAAATATCATTAAAGTATTCTAGAGTTTCACATTACTACATATCCATGAGATGAGAGAACATTAACAGCTCTTAGGATGGGAATAGCTCAGAAACTCAAGATATCTACCTTCTTTCAGTGCTTAATCTCAGGTTCAAAGTACCTGTTTTAGACTATTTAGTTATATCTATCAATCAAACAGATGCAATTACACATACTTCAGCAAATGAAAGCACTATATCTCAAGCTAGAACTCCAAAAAGACAGACAATCAAATAATTCCTGAAGAGCATAGCTTGATAGATAAGCAGTAAAAATGATATGGTGAAGGACAACAATCCTGTGCCATAACCAAGAAAACGTGCTTTTATCCTTCTTGTGATCCTTTTCAAAATGTACTCAATCCCTTAAAGAGTCACATTTGGAATACAAGGTAAGAAGTCTAAATATTAAAGGCATAAATTTTGTTGGATTGAAAGAATTTACACCATTAACACTGTGTCCAAAAATGTACCCTAGATACCAAATATTTAAGACTGGTTGTTATGTGAAAAATATTGAAGTGGTCATTTACTACAGAATCAAAAATGAGCACTTCTGTGAGAGCGTAGCATCAGCACCTTGAAATTAGGCAACTGTTCTTAATAGGAAAGTTCAAAACAAACAAAGTACTTAAAAAAAGACCTCAGCAACTGAAGATCAATTCCTCAGCCAAATGCCTTATCAATAGTTATCCAATCCTAGGAGGCTTCATGGATCTTCTCATTGCTTTACATGAGATTCCTCAAAATATGGTTTATGGCTATATTTCCAGTAGCTTGCAGAAGAATTTGTAAAGCAGCAATAACAGGGGCAACAGACTCATTTCCATCACTATTCTTTTCCTGAAAATACATGTGTTGTAGGAATAAAGACTTGAAGTAATAGAACTTTAAGGCCCAAATGCTGGTTGGGACCCAACTGCAATATATAATGTCTCAGGACACTGGGGAAAGAAGGTCCACTATAAATAAATTGGACTGGCAAGGCAAAGAAAACAAAAGATAGCAAGGAAGCCAAAAGCACAATGTACAAAGGAACCTGACTAAGCTGTAAATCAGTTCTGGAACAAGCTCAACGTTTCCCAAATCCTTACCTGCTACTGCTGATGAGATCTTCCAAATACTGGATTTTTGGGCAACGTGAAGTGAAAGGTCCTTAAAAAAAGGCCCATGGGGTAAAGAAGGGATAATATGCTGTCTGAATTCAGCCAGTTTGCACATTATTCCTCAGGATGAAATGTTATTGTCCAGTAAGGAAAGTTAACAAGAGATGTTTGACTTACTCATACACAGAAATAATCTTTTCACAAGAATCACAACTGTACCAATTTTAAGCATTAAAGAGTTACATGCATACAGAAATTCAAATGAACTAACAAATAATTAAACAGAAACAAAAAACAAACAAGCAAACAACAACAACAAAAAAACATGAGCTGAACATGTGTGCTTCTTGTTTATATGTGCTTTTTGAAGACTGTTTTTCCTAAAAGAAATGTAGCACTGTCCCAGTGCTCAGTCACTGTGTTTCTGGGGATGTACCTTGGCTGCACCATGATCCAGAATTTAGGCTGCTACTGAAAAGGGAAACAACTCTCTCCTGAGACAGTTATGATTAAATCCCCATACCCAATGTTTTGTTCCCTTTTTTTCTTCTTACCAGGTACAGCTGGTAACCTTCAAATTCTTACTACACATTCTGAGCATAAATACCAATCGCTAGAAACACAGTGTTGAAACTTCAAGACAAGTTCATGAAAACCAACTTTTAAAGGCAAAATAACTCAGAAAAAAAAAACAAAAAACTATTAGAAAGAAATTCAAATCATGAGTGCAAACATCCAAAAATCCATGGTCATCAGATGAACTGAAATGATAGCACACAGCTTTGGCAATTCAAATTATGACGCACCTAAGAACTAGAAACCGAATTTCATTATGTACTACTGAATGTTCAGTGCTTACAAGGTGCTTCACTGGAGGCCCTTTCATATTCTTACAATTTAATATTAGTTAGAATTTCTCAGGAAGAAAAAATCTCTTTTTGATTTGATCCACTGCTTTTAGCACCCACTGTTATTTATTTTCAGCTTTTTCCATCTTTTCATCAGTTATCTTTAAAAAGCACTCCGGAGGAATTGCTGCTCTTACTCATCATGTATTCTTCAAAGCATGTACTAAATACTCTTGGTGAAAGCTTGTCAGACACTCTCACCCCTCCCCCACCTCCAGTTCCGTCATTGTTGAACTCAGTGGGACTGTTACTGAATTCAGAGAATTCATTCCTTCTCATTAAAAGGTAGTCAGACACCACAGGCTTTTGTTTGGCAAGATCTAGTTTCCATTTCATCCAAACTATCAGAGCTCAGAGAATAGGCAAGATCAACTCCCTAGTGAATTCTGAGACAAATTTGTCTACTTTTCAGTCAACTACAGAATCATGCTCGCTAAACTTCCTGGTATTCTTTAAAGCATTTCTTTTTCAGATTCTAAGCAATAAACTAAGATAATGGGACAAATTCAATTTCCAGTTTCCTTAACATAAGTTTGAAGGGCCTACATTTATACTGACAAAAAGTAAGTTATTTGGCTTTACTCTCTTCTTTGTGACAGACAATTACATTGACTGAAAAATCTGCAAAGTAAAATTTGCTAGGCTCATCTAATTGATTACCCTAGTAAATATCATTTTTCTAGAAAATATAGTTCAAGTACATTAGTTAGTCTTTAAGAAGTATACACATCAACATCTATAGACACAGGCCATATTCAACTGTTTTGCAAGCGTAGTCTTCCATTAGTTCACTCTTCACATGAAGAAAGTAATTGTTAAATTGTCATTTTTTCCTCATTTTGATTTTGAGAATCTTAGCCATAAAGATTACTCGTCAAAGCCTGTTAAGTCACTAAGACAAACTAGCTGTTTTACACAGAGGGTGAATCAGTTAATGATTTCATAGACATTTCATTTCCAGAAGTGTCATATATGCAAGTGGGTGAGGCCACACACATGGTCCAGTGTTGTGGTCTGGTTGCTCAGTTGGAAAAAGCAGTATAAAGTCAGCTTTTTGGCTTCTATCAGTACATCCAGATGATTTCAATTTGTTAGGATTCCACTAGAGTGGTCAGCATTACTTTGACAAAGCTGTGCCAACAGACAACTCTGGAGCCTTAAGAATTTAAGTACACACTGAGACCAGGCAGAGGTACCGAGCTTTCTGCTTTACAATCCATTACCCGTATGGCTTCTTAAATTTGGGCCATTAGGTAGCTCCTAAATATGCAGGTTTTTATTATGCAGCTTATACAGAATAAACACTTAGCTCAAGTTTCTACCAATAGAGTGAGGAGAGATTATGACAATAGCTGTAACTTAAGGAATCATACCTTTAAGCCATTTAAGTACAGTTCAGACTTCTGAAACTTATAGCTACGCATTAGAGTGAACTTGTCCATAGCAATCAAGTCAGTAAGTGCCAAAAAATTAACACTACAGATGTTATGCTTATTTCTAAGTATTTTAATCTGTATATGCAGGGTAACATACCGCAGAGGTTATTCTCTTTTTTTACTTGCGTTTGGCAACCCTGCTTACAATCATGAAAAGCCCTTGGGATCATTCAAGATTATATGTTGATCACAAAAAGGTTTAAGCATTCCTAAGGTGCTCCCTGAATCATTTGATGGAGTTTTACTACTCAGTAAAAGAAAGGAAACAGTCTTGGAACTTCTGATGTTCCTGGTGTTCAGCAAGTTAACCATGAGTCCAACCTCACACTGGCAAGAATTTTGTGTTCTCAGAGTTTCCATCTACTGGTT